CTTAGCGTCAGACCCTCAGGTCCTCTAATTATTTTAATCCCAAGGATTAAATCGGCCAGCCCCATATCCTTCATGTCGAATTTAGAATTTAACATGCTTTTGGTAGAATTAATCATAAGATTATTGCTACCCACGATGAGTATATCATCCACGTATAAACATAAAATGACATAGCCGTCTACCGTGCTTTTCACATAGACGCATTTGTCACTTTCGTTTATTTTAAACCCATTAATTAACATTGCATATCGAACTTTTCGTGCCACTGTTTAGGGGCTTGTTTCAATCCGTACAATGATTTAATTAATTTACAAACCTTCTTTTCTTGGCTTGGAACACGAAAACCCTCGGGTTGTTCCAACACTTTGTATTACAAGATTTGTTATTTATCATGTTGGGTGTGTTTCGGAAAATAAAGAAAATTAATTAAAATAAATTAATTAAATAAAATGACTAGAGAAAAACAAGAAAGGAGATGAAGCAGAATTAGTCAAAGCTCGTGCTACGCACGATGTCCTTAAAACGTATTTGTTGCCTCCCACGGTGCTAGGAGCGTTGCAACAATCGTTTCCCAGGATACGATGACTACGAACTAATGTTTGAGCACACAAACAAAAGTTCCAGCGAACGAGAACACAGTATGAACACAGGGGAAATTTTCGGAATGCTAGCAGTGTGTTTTTAGAGCTAAAACGTGTATGGATTTGTGTAAGAACGTGTTTTGTTGCAAACCACCTGCCAGCCTTTATATAGGAGGATTTGTTGTGTGTAAATGGTGAATTAATGGACCTGAACGTTGGACATCAATGACCAGTCCGTTGGGCATTGAATCGTCCATGAACTGTCCATTTAACGCTGCATTAAAGGATATAAACGTTTCGGGAAGAAAACAAAAATTATCCGTATCTCTTGAGAGATAGATTTTTGGACGACATTCGTGTCCGCAGGTCGCCCGCGCACGCAAGTCGCGGTTTTTCTTCTCCGAATTCGGGATTTGATTTGCACCCCCCATGCGCGCGTGGAGAAAGCCTTTACCCATAGGAATCTTAACTCCTTAAGGGAAGAGTCCCTTTATAAAGGGTTGCAAATCCCTTGGGTTTTCCGGTGTGGGAAATTAACACACTAGAAACCCATCCTTTTTCCCAGTTTTTCCATTCTAACGGGTAAACTTCGAAAAGCGATTTCTCATTCACCCGTTATCCGTTTTGAGCGTACCATATATCGAATTGTAGCCCTTAACAAGGACAATCCGAAACCACTTTGACCCGACCCAAATCGGAAGTGGACCCCACTCAAAAAATTGCCCCAAAACAGCCATTTAATGCAAAATTTTCACACATTTTTCCAACATATCATTCTAACTCTCCCGTGCGCACAATTGCACACCCATTACAATGATTCAAATTCAAAGCTAAACTAATAAATAATAAAAAGTTTTAAGATAATCAAAATCATAATAATACAACTATTTTATAGTTTTGACTCATTTTGTGTCAATTTATTTACAATATTTGGAATATAAAAGATACATAATGGAGGCATCATGAATAGTGAACACAGAAGAGTTAATTAGCTAATAAAAGAAGAAAAACTATGATATGGATATCTGTTGAATTTAAAATTTTGTAGAGTGACTCAACAACAACAACAACATTATCCAAGCCTCAGTCCCAAAAGATATTGGGGTCGACTAACATGAATCGATACATGATATCACCACCAAAAGGAAAAGAAAAAAAAGATATAAAAAGATAAGCTATTATAAAAAATATAATGTAATAAGAGATGAATATACCTAAAAATGATAAAATAAAAAGGATAAAAATAATGTTTATATATAAGGATAAAAGAATAAAAAAAAAGATGATGCGAAAAGATAACACGAGATCAGTACTCCTCCACACGAATACCCGCCCTCCACTTTGCTCTCTTCAAACCCATACCCTCATCTAACCAAAGAAGAAACATATCACTTCGGACTCCCCTAACTCACGGCTGTTTGGGCCTTCCTCTCCCTCTCTTCCCTGCCTCTTCTCTACACATCTCAACTCGTCTGACAGGTGCATCACTCGGTCTTCTACGCACATGACCAAACCACCGTAAGCGCGACTCCCACATCTTGTCTTCAATAGGTGCTACTCCAACCCTTTGTTTGATTGTCTCATTAAGTCTCACTTTAAGTCTAATGAAAACGATACTTTATAGACTATAGAAGTACGAGTTATAACACTTGACAGGTATAACTTAAATTAAATCTGGCTACACCTAGTTGCTACATGAAAATTTTGACATATTAATCATTCAAGCATTTCTCACGTGGTCCTTCCTAGTATGCCCACACATCCAACACAGCATGCTCATCTCCGCCACACTCATCTTTTGAGTGTGACATTGTTTCACCGCCCAACACTCTACGACATACAGTAATGCAGGCCTAATTGATGTCCTATAAAATTTACCCTTCAATCTAGTCGGCATACCTCTATCGCATAGAAATCCTGACGCACTCTTCCACTTCATCCACCCAGTTTTGATTCTATGGGATACATCTCCATCTAACTCACCGTCCTTCTGAATTATGGAGCCCAAGTAACGGAACATTTTGCGCATTTTTTGTCTCAAATTATTTCCTCCTTACTCTATGATAGTAATTTGAGTGATCATAATTGTGTTCGACTCTACATTATAATAACTATGTATAGTAACTTCAGTAATTTTTTTGTTCATAAATTATACACAGTATTCATCAACTTATAATGACTATGTATAGTAATATTTGATTAATATTTGAGGAAAAAACTCAACTTTTTTCTATCAACAATTAATTAAGTTTGATCAAAACAACACATTACACATGTACTAATGGTGATATGGATTGTCATTTGCAAAGTTAGCTAATACGATATATTTGTATTTGTTATATTTTGTACTCTACCTGTATGAAAAGATGTTTGGTGATAACAATAACAAATTACGTTTATATTTTTTACATGATTCATTTGAATAAAATTGTGAATTTTACAACATTTATAACACTGACTCATTTAGTTTTCTTTGAATATTTTATGTGATATCAATTATAAATTTATTTTTTGTGATAGGTGAATCATTTTTCTAGTGATTGAAAATGTGTTAAACATTTGAATGTCATCAGTCTTAGTAAGATAAATTAGGTGTTAATTTATAATATTTTATTATTTCTTTTTCTATCTTTTATTTCCTTTTAGATTTTAGTTAAACAATAAATATAAGAAGATGAGATGGACTACTATTTTCATTTTCTAATTCTATTATATAGAACTTGTTCAAATAAAATAATAAACACAAGAAACCGAATCAAATAAACCTAATAATTTTCACTTTGGTAAACCGGACTTCAAACCAAACCAAACCGAAATACAAATGGTTTTAGTTCGGTACAATATCTTTGAAACCGAATAAACCAAAACTGAACCGAACTGAAGAAAACCGAACCGTAAATCGAATTGCCCACCCCTGATTACAATCTTATAGACACCATGGCAAGTGAAAATTTGTGCCCTAACATGATAATATTTTTGACTAATTCAGTGGAGATACTAGTGGAAGACTCCCCGTATTATCTACTAGATACAGTATAGGTGCATTGGATCTTCCCATTACCAAACCATGGAGACCTTGGTTCTATGAAAATCAGGTACGTGGTAAATAATTAAATATTATAATACTACATCAATCCCGCAATTAAGTATTTAGTTCAGCTTTACGGACTCCTTTTAGATAAAATACTACTGGTACGTAATTTGGGGGTGTTTGGATCTACTTAATTATTAAAAATGCTTTTGCTCCTTTAGAAAGTACTCCCTCCATCCCAAATTGTTTTGCAAAGTCAACATTTTTTGGTCAACCAATAATAAAAGTCAAACTTCCTTATTGATAATTAACTCAATTTTTAATAATTAAAATTTACATATTCAGAAGCTATATTGAATTCTTTTCAAAGTTGCAAACTCCAAATTAGAATATAATTAAAAGTTGACATCTTAATTAAGTAAATAAAATGAAACTGTTTGACCAAGAAAAGTCAAATTTGTAAATCAATTTGTGACAGAGGTAGTAGAAACATATATTGGAATGTTTGAGTGAAAGTACAAAAGTATTTCTGGTGCTACAAATTGCTCATAGAAGCATTTTTGTAAAAGTTTGGAGAAACCAGCTTCTAAAGAAGCAAAATTAAAGCAAAATCAATTCAAAACACCCCTTTATTGGCATTCTAATTAACTTCCAGGAATTTTCCATTGCTTAAAAGTATGATAGAGAAAAATAATACGGAGTAATTAATACGGAGTAATTTATTAATAAAAACAGAAATAAGAACTTAATTTTGAGACATAACTGTGAGAATTAAATTGCAAGAAAGTAGTATATACACACACTTCCTTCTTCCTTGAGCAAATAGGAAATTTTCACAAATATTGAAACAATAGTAAAAATATCAGAGAAAAGGATAAAAATGAAAAAAGTAGAACTGAAACTTGTTTGTGAAAAAAACTAAAAATTTCAATAGATTGTGGAAAAAATTACTAGGAATGTTCAATGGTTTGGTTTTGTCAATTGTCGGTTCTCTCAGTTGGTTTTGAGAAAGGTAAGCACAAAGCACATACTCAAACTAGCTAGTTTTAGTCAGTTTTCCATGGTTTTGATTCGATTAATTTTGGTTAGTTTCGTTTTGGCATGTTTAATCATTTTTAGGCAGATTTGGTCAGTTTTCATGCTTAATCTTTAAACTGTGAATCAAACCACCTATGATATGATTGGTTTAATATCGTCAGTTTTGGTTTTCATCATCGATTCGGTCTGGATCAGTTTGGGTTTATTGATTTAATTTTTGTCCAGCCCTCCTATTTCCCACACCAAGTCTTTAATTTGTAAAGTTGAGAGAATGAATAATGTGTACTCACAATAGGAGTACAATATAAAGATAAAGTCTATCTAACTAACTAGAAGATAATATTATGTTTATTAATTTCAAATGGGAATATAATTATAATTTATTTTTTATCTCCAATGTGCCCCCGCAAGTTGGAGGGTCTGGGAATTGGAGAACTCCAATCTTGATGTGAAGATCATGAAATCGACGTTGTGGGAGAGGCTTAGTGAGCTGAGAGAGTCAGCTAGTTGGTCTTCAGAGCAAACATGAGAGACCAGAGGAATGTCATTGTGAAGAACTGAACATGTTCACGAATGAAGTGACAGTGTAATGCAGATGTTTCATGCGAGAGTGAAAGACATGATTAGCACAGAGATGTGTTGCACCAACATTGTCACTGTAGATTGCTGGCTGAGTAGGGATAACAATATGTAACTCGGTCAGAAGAGATAAAATCCATCGGAGTTCGGCAGCGGTAGTAGCAACGGAACGGTAATCGGCCTCGGTAGAGGAACAAGCAATTGTGCGTTGCTTGAGAGAGCTCCATGAGATAACATTGGGATCTAGAAAATGACAAAAGCCCCAGTAGAAGTGTAATCATCCGGATTTCTGGCTCAATCTGCATCAAATAGGCATGCAAGGAGAGAGAAAGGGAGTGGCATAATAAGAGGCCGGCCATGATCAGCCGTGTGACGAAGATAGCTTAGTACTCTTTTGGTAGCCTCCCAATGATCAGTCTTAGGCTTGTGAAGAAATTGGGAGAGCTTGTTCACTGTATAAGATAAATCTAGCCGAGTAAGGGTGAGACATTGAAGGCTGCCAACCACGGATCTATATTCTTCTGGATTGGCAAGTGGGCTGCTCGAGTGAAGACTAAGTTTAGAGGTAGCAGCAAGGGGAGTGGTCACACCATTGCATGTGGTCATCTTTGTCTGAGAGAGAAGATCCAAGATGTACCGCTGTTAAGAAAGAAGAATACCTTGAGGATGCTTGATAACCTCAACGCCAAGGAAAAAAGAGATAACATGCACCAAGATCTTTGATAAAAAACAGGTGGCCATGATTAGTGATCAATGCTTCAACAAAATCAGTGGAGCTTCCAGTAGTAACAATGTCAACAACATAGACCAGAATGTAAATGATATGATTATCATGATAATAAACAAATAAAGATGTATCAACTTTGGAATTAATAAAACCAAGCCAAAGAAGGTAGTGCTTGAGTTCTTGATACCAAGCTCGAGGTGCCTGTTTGAGACCATACAAAGCCTTTTGTAGGCGACGTATATGATTAGGCTTTGTAGGATCAACAAAGTCGGGGGGGTGGGGGGGGTGGGGGGGTGGGGGGAAGCATAAAAACTTCATCATAGAGATGACCTTGCAAAAAAAGCATTGCTAACATCAACTCCAGGCCGTTGATGAAAACCTTTGGCGACCAACGGGCTTTGTACATGTCAATAACACCATTAGATAACCGTTCAGTACGAAAGACCCATTTACACCCAACAGTATTTTCCCGGTCAGTACGAGGAACCAACGTCCAAGTGCCATTTTTAATGAGTGCTTTGAATTCCTCGGACATATCATGTCGCCAATTAGGATCAAATAGAGCTTCCTTAAAGTACTAGGTTCAGGCGACACAGGAGAAAGAGTAGAGTTGAGGTTAAATTTGGTGACGATAAATATTATTCATAGACCGGGTGACCATGCAACGTGGGGGGAGACTCGATAGGTGTGGTGGAATTGTCAGGAGAAGTGTTGAGTGAAGATGAGATGGGAGTAAGTTGACGTTGCATGGGAGTTGACTCATGCATGGGAGATATATTTGAGGGCGTGGGAATGTCTGACGTATTGGAGAATTGGGTTGGAGAATTATTGTTGAGAAAATTATTAGTGGGGGAATAATTATGAGGGGATAAAGCTGATGGGTTAGTGTGTTGAGAGTCGACCGGATTTCATGGGAGAGATATTCTAGTTGGGGGAGGATTATCTGATAAGGAATTAATTGGGGAAGAGTTAGTTGAGGTTAAAGTAGTGGACCAATTATTTGGTGGGAGGGAGGTGCATTTTTTTTTATTTATGGGACGGAAGTGGGGATTTAGAAAATAATGTGGGGGGTGGTCCATGGGGTTATTGGAGGAGTGGTAGGATTTTTTGTGAAGGTGGGATAAGGAAATATGTTCTCAACAAATATGACATAGGAAGAGACATATGTACGAGATTTATTAGGATCATAACAAAAAAAAGTACTTTGACTAAGAGAGTAGCCAAGAAAAATACACGAAACGGAGCGGGATTGCATGGAGTTTATGTCGGGTATTTTCAACTAGTAGGCGAAAGGCTTTGAATGTGGAACTGACATCCGATTTATGCTTCAGAGGATAAAACTAGATGTATTTGGTAAAGTGGTCAATAAAAATGACATAATATTTAAAGTTATCAAACGAGACAGCATGAGAGGCCCAAACATCAGAAATAATTATTTCTAATGGTTGGGAAGATTTTATTGATGACAAATGAAATGAAGTTTGTGACCTTTTTTTATGGATAAACTGTAAATATATACTCCTTCCGTCCCAATTTGATGGTCTCATATTTCCTTTCTGGGCCGTCCCAAATTGATAGTCCCATTTCCCTTTTTGGAAAGAAAGATGTGGTCCACATTATTTCACCTTTTTCTACTCAAATCTCAACCACAACTTTTACCTTTTCAACCACTTCCTTAATCTTTGAGCCCAAAAGAAATGAGACTCTCATTTTGGGACGGAGCTAGTATATCCAAAGTGTTTATGTACATCTGTACAATAGCAAAAACATCTATGGGTCATCCCAAGAAAGGATACCCTGTCACCTCAAAAACCCATCTGGCTACATATACATGCTAGCCATCACAAAAAAGGTGATGAAACAACAAAAAATCAGAATGTTATCCTATCAATCGGATACATAGAATAAAGCACTTTATACACCATAAACTTGATATGTTTGGCCATATCCAACACCGTAGTCTTGGCCTTCTCAAAACAAAGCATATTCCTCATACGCCATATCCAATAAACAGTGTAGCAAAAGGAGAGCCTCACGGCCTTGGCTTTAATATGTGCTCCATTATGCTCCTTTTTAATCCATTCGACTGCACTTGGAAGTGTTGTCATCTATCTCAAGAGTCCAAGCCAATCCCGTACCAAGTTCCAAAACTGTCCTGTTAATGTACCCTCAAAATATAGGTGTGACACCGTTTCTGGGCCACCCTTACAAAAATGACAAACATTAATCACATCAATAAACCCCAAACTGTCATACGTGGCTAACCTTCCCCGGAAAGCAAGCCAAGTAGTAAAAGAGAATTTGGGGGAATATAGCTTTTCCAAACAAAGGACATCCAAGGGTCGATGTTACCTTTGGTTCTAAGCAAATCATATATTTTAGAAGAGGAAAATTTCCCATTTTTGGAGAACTTTCCAAGGTAAGTCACAACCAAGTCTAATGATGTGAACTTGGATACAATCAAGTCCCGGATAGTCAAAAGTTTCTTCATAAGACGAGAGTCCCTAGTGTGTGGAACAAAAGTCCACACATCCCTCCCTTGAAGATAAACCCCATGAACCCACTTAACCCATAATGAGTCTTGTTTGGAATGAATGTTCCAAAGAGTATGAGATAGTAAGGCATTATTCCACACCTTAAGCTGTGTTTGCTATTGCTTTAAATAAGTGCTTTTCAGCTTTTAGATTAAAAAAAGCTAAAAGTGGTGTTTGATAATCACAACTTCTAATTAAAAAAAGCACTTTTAAGTCAAAATCTAGAAGCTGGGATATACTAGCTTCAAAGTGCTTCTAGGTATTTTTGCAAATAACTTTAACTCTAAGGATAATCCTAATGGCTTATTTTTTCACTTCAACCCAAAATATCCTCCATTCTACACTATTTTCTCTCCCCTATCATCCTGTATCCCGTCAACTCCCCTTCGCCTTTTCTCTTCATCACCGCTAACAACCTCTGTATTATTTTGGGTCGAAGTGAAAAAAATAGGGGAGCTTCGATTCAGCCGTCCTTCGATTCAGCCGTCCAAAACGCCGCCGCCATCCAAAACCCCGCCGCCGCTATTGAATCACCGGCATCACACCTGCACTTGTTCCAACCTTCGATGCAGCCGGAGTCGTTCAGGCCGCTTTATAATTTGGCACCTCTTGTAGCTGTGCCTTTCGGATTGCTCTTCTAAACAATTCGTCGGGTGTTTGTGGCTTTTTGATTGCTCTGGGTTTTTTTTATTATTGGGGTTGTGGCTTGTAGGCTTGGATGTGCGAAATAAATGAAAAGGGTTTGAGGGTATATTTGTAACTTAATAAAACACTATAATAAAAATCACTTTTTTATCAAACACTTCAACTTTAACTTTTCCACCTTAATCACTTCTATTCTAAAAACACTATCAACTTTTACTAAAAAGCACTTTATTCAAAATCACTTAAAAATACCACTTTTTTTAAGTTGAAGCAAACGCAAACACTCCCTTAGTGTCTCTAATACCCAAACCCCCTCATCTTTTGGTAAGCAAACATCATTCCATGCAACCTTTGCATGTTTCCCCCCCAAAGGAAAAGTCTACAAATTAAAGAGAGGTAATCCTATCAAGGATAGCCCTCGACATAGGGAAAATACATAGCCAAACAGATTGAGCACCTTGCATAACAGAGCTAATCAACTCAACCTTTCCAGCATAAGAAAGAGTTTTGGAATTCCACGCATATAAATAATCTGTAAACGTGTCAATCAAAGGAGAGAATTGAACTACAGATATGTTTAAAGGATCAAGTGGAATACCCAAATATTTAACCGGAAAGGATCCTTGTTGAAAGTCTACCCTTTGCAAAATATAAGGAATTCTACTTTCCACATTTCCACCTAAAAAGATATTAGAGTTATCATGATTAACTAGAAGGCTATAAACCAGCCCATAGTCCGTTAAAGCATCCACTAATATCTTGATAGATGAGTAGTTTCCTTTAGAGAAAAGAATCAAATCATCTGCATAAGCCAAATGTGTTATTTTAAGCTTAGAGCATAAAGGATGATAACGGAAAGTAGGATTTGAACTCCGAGTTTCTATCATCCTTGAGAAATACTCTAAGCATAGCACAAACAACAATGGAGACATAGGGCCCCCTGTCTTAGACCCCTCTTTCCTTCAAACCATCCATGGAGGGATCCATTGATGGATATAGAGAAAGAAGAAGTTGAAACACACTCCATGATCCACCTAACAAATAAAACAGGAATGCCAATATCCAGTAGCACTTTTTCAACGAAATCCCATGAGACAGTATCATAAGCTTTCTTAAGATCAATTTTAATCATACATCTAGGTGAGGGTATTTTCCTAGAGTATCCCCTCACTAACTCCTGTGCTAAGAAGGTGTTGTCACACATCAATCTTCCATCAACAAAAGCTCCGTGATCCATATGAAGGGTTGATAACACTAGAGAGACAAGGACCTAGATGGGATGAAAGGATCTTAGTAATGATCTTATAAGTCACATTTGTACATGATATAGGCCTAAAATCTGAAACAGTGGGAGAGTGAGTTGTCTTAGGGATAAGTGCAACCACGGTATGGTTAACCTGTTTAAGAATAGTCCCTGCCACGAAGAACTCCCTCACGGCATCACAAACATCTTCCCCAACCTTACTCCAATTAGCTTTGAAGAAAGCTGACGAATATCCATCCGGACCAGGTGCTTTATCATTACCAATATCAAACAAGGTTTGTTTAATTTCCAAATCAGTGACATGACTAGTAAGGTCAAAAACAAGTGATTGATCTAAGGTTTTACCTGATAAGATTACCCCCGGATCATACCCCACCATTGATATCTTTGTACTAAATAAACCTTTAAAGAAAGCTATAAACTCATTTGCTACATGGTCCATGGATTTGGTAAGACTTCCATCTTTCAATCTCAAAGAAGCAATAGAGTTTTGAGCATTCTTTTTTTTTTTTTTTACAATAGAATGGAAATATTTAGTACACCTATCCAATTGTAAGATATGGACAGCCTTAGCCTCTTGTTTAAGGTAGGCCTCCTCGGCTTCCTTCAAAAAAAGTGCTCTCTTCTTTGCAACCACCATTTCTACTCTTAGAGCATCATCTCAAGGAGACAAGAGGGCTAATTGATAGATTCTCTTGTACTCTTTTTTGGATTCCTTTGGCCTAGCCGAGATGTGGCTAAATTCATCCTTATTGAGTTGTTTAAGGGGTTGTTTAAGTAGCTTAACTTTTCGGGCAAACCTAAACTGAGCCGTACCAACAACATTCCTAGTCCACACACTCTCTAAGATATCATGAAAGCATTCATGTTTTAGCCACATGTTAAAGAACTTGAAAGGTTTGGACCCTCCATTGCTCACGGACCCAATGGTTACAAGAGATGCCACATGATCAAACTCACATTCCATTTCAAAGAAATGAGCCCTATATGTTACATTTTGCAAACTCCAAAAAGAATTGATAAGAACTCTATCCAATTTAGCCCAAGTTGCACCCCTATGCCAAGTAAAAAGTTTGCCGGTTGAAGGAGCATCTATGAGACTAGAATCCATTTTCATATCATTTAGATGTTTCATTGCATAAGCCGAGGGAGGGGCTGAGCCACTCCTCTCACTTGGAGAGACTACACAATTAAAACCACCCAAAACCACCCAAGGAGCTAAGATATTTGAGCTTAACCTGGATACATGTTCCCAAAGTTCTCTTCTTTGTACAACCGTGTATAAAGCATAAATAAAT